TTGCCAATCTTCCTCTTTTTTTTTGCTCCCCAAAGCCCCAGTATGTAGTTACATATTCTAGTTGGAAGTCATTCTAGTTCTTCTGTGTGAGCTGCCACTGCAGCATGGCTACTAACAGACAGGTAGCCTGGTTCTGTGACTGGGAAATGAACCTGGGCCGCTGAAGTGGTGAGAGTGCCGAACTTTAACCACTAGGCCATCAGCCTCGCTCCTCAGTACCAACTTTTGTCTTAGTCACTTTGGGCTGCTGTAACAAAATATCATAAACTGAGTAGCTTAAACAATAGTCATTTATTTCTCACAGTTCTGGAGGCTAGAAGTCCAAGATCAGTTGCCAGCATGGCCAGGTTTTGGTGAGATGTCTCTTCCAGGTTGCACACTACTACTGTCATCTTGTCGTGTCCTCACATGGCAGAAAGAGAGCTGGCGAGCTCTCTGGCCTCTTAGAAGGGCGCTAATCCCATTTTTGAGAGCTCCATCCTCATGACCTAATTACCTCCCAAAGGCCCCACCTCCAAATGCCATCACACTGGGATTAGAGTTTCAACATATGGACTTTGGAGCGACGCAGCATTCAGTCCTTTGCAGAAGGAAACCAGTGCAAGCTTCCCAGAGCCCTCTCTTAGTGGGGTCACACAGGATGCATTTAATCACGCCAGCAACAAGTTGTGACAACCTGTGTGAAGTGTTGTCTACCAGGGAACTCATCCGAGGCTAAGAGTCCAGGGTCTTTCTCGGGAGTCAGTCATGGAGGCCCACAGAGCCTGCGTGACTGCTGGCAGTCCCTGAAGTTCTAGACGCCCAGAAGAAAGCAGGCGTTCAGCATGCGCCACGTTGTTTCACAGTCTAGGCACAGTGAGCCACTCACATCATTTAGGAAAGGTTTTACTGGGCATGTTCCCAGGTGTCAGCCAAAGGCCAGCCTTGCAACTGGGCCTTTCTGAGCGTGGCAAGCTCATAGGCCTGCTATGTCTACTCGTGTCTGCACACATATGTAATGTGCGTTTGTTCCTGAGCGACGTGATCTCAGTTATGGGAAAGATTCAGCTGTTTGCCCTATGGATAAGTAATTCTTCAGGTTATGCAAGCGAAGGCCTACTGAGTAGAGGTACAGAACTGTATATTTTGAAATAAGACTCTCATGCCTTTACTGGCATACTTCCAAAAGAGAGAGAGGGAGGTAGGAGGGAAGGAGAAAGGAAGAAGACAGATGGACAGACAGATGGACCTGACGTTCAGGAGGTTTGAGGGAACATGCCAAAGCAATTTATGTCATGAATGAAACAAACAGTAGACAGTTGTTTATCTTGGCACCAAAATAGCAGAAGCATCCAGAAAATGGAAGCCTTTTAAGACGATATTTTTAGCGAGTAGTTATTTTTACTAATGCCGTTCTACTAACTGAAAAAACATTTGCTCAGAGTGTGGCTCATGGTAACTATGTCGGCCCCTGGGCTTCGGGTGACAAGCATTGTTGATGTAGGTTCCAAGGCTTTTAACACCAGCAGCATGATGTGGACCCGTGAGGGGCGACAGCTCTCTCTCGTTTCTATGGTTGGTGGGTAGCAACTATTTTTTTAATGTTTAAACTTTCATTAATAACTTGATTGTTTTTACATTTTACTTTTATTAAGGTAGATTATTTATCTTTTTATGGCTTTTTAAAAATCAGCTTTATTGAAGTATAATTATGTACAAAAATTTTAATCTCATGAATAAAAACAGTTTCATTCTTTTCTTCCCAAGCTGAATACCTTTCTTCCTTTTTTCTTGCCTGATTGTGTGGGCCAGGACTTCCAGTGGCTCTTAAAGCAGCCCTTTAGCACTTCACTGCTCCTGCCTCACACCCTCCAGCCCTCACACACACATATTACAGAGAATGATCAATAAACCACTGATCAAAATGTAATTTCTCAATGGTAACTTTACTTTCTACATGAATATTGGTTATCTTTATAATCAGAAAAGGCAATGACGCTATTCCTTTAAAAAACAAGTAAACGAACAACAATTTTTTTTTTTAATGGAAGAACATTTAGGATGAAGAGAAACTCTTTTTGTTATCTTTTTTGCAGGGAAAGATTTGCCCCAAGCTAACATTTGTTGCCGATCTTCGTCCTTGTTTCTTCTTTCCTCCCCCAAAACCCCAGTACACAGTTGCGTACTGTTGTAAGTTCTTCTCGTTCTTCTGTGTGAGCCACTGCGACAGCATGGCTACTGACAAGACAGTGGTGTGGTTCTGCACCCGGGAACTGAACCCCCGCTACCTAAGCAGAGCATGCTGAGTTTTAACCACTCAGCCATCAGGGCTGGCTTGAAACTGACAACAATTCTTAAAAGGTGTAAAACATGCTAAATAATTAATAATAGTCTAAGGAGCTTGTACTGGGAGCCACAGGAAATACTGATGTCACAGGAGGGAGCCCTTCTCCTTGAGGTGGATTCAGGTAGGGCAGGATTGCTCACTGTCGGGCATTTGGGGTTTCTTTCACTCCCTTCTCTCCTGTCCAGCATGGGTCTCAGAGAGTGAGGCATGAGAGAACTTGCAAATGAGTTGCAAACAGCCTCAGGCCTAGAGGTCAGAATTTCTAGGGAAGGTCCTGAGCCTGTCATTTCAAATTCTCTATTTTGGCATCTTGCATCCTACATAAAGTCCAAGAAATGGTCTTTGTTAGCATCTGCTTTGATTTTGAGAGAGTTTGAGAGAGACTGAAAATACCACCCCAACTGAGAATTTGAGACTGTGTGCAGTATTAATTGGCTCTTCTTTATGTCACTGTAACCCCTGAAGAGAAGTGTCCTGCCTTTGTGGCCTGGGCAAACCAAGTCCTTGTGTTTTCTTCCTCCTGTGATCAGATGGGACCGCTTTGTGCTGTATTGGAGCTTTTTTCTGTCCTCAGCACTGTATCCCAAAACAAGTAATGCTTTTTTTCGGTTTCCCCCCCTCAGAGTTAATTCCCTGATTTTCTACTATGCAGCCCCTTCCCCGGGAGTCAGAGGGAAGCCTTTAATTTAGAGTTCTGACCTCCACGACTTCCTAGAGGTCTTGCCATGGTTGTGCAGATTCCCTGGCGATGCACGCACATCTTTCGTGGAATTAACTACCTAGTTAATCCATCAAACATTTCTTGAGTGTCTAGATTGTGCTAGTCACTGAAGATGCACGAATGAAAAAGTTACAATTCCTGCCCTCAAGATGCTTATGGTCCAACTATGGGAGACAAGTCCAGAAATCATTATAAAAACAGGAAATTATAGGGGAAGCAGTGACGGGGCTTCCTCAGCCAGGCATGGGTGGAGGTGGGTGACACAGCGGGAGCTTTGGCTGTATTTCCTGAAGAGTTTTCTTTTGCTTTATAGTGAGTGAAGATTCTGTTTTTATTATATAATTTACCTTTGTCACTATTACTGATTTACTACAGTGGCTACAACTCAGAAACTGAATTCAACGTTAATCAGCTTAATATTGATATTCTTTTTTCTGTTTGTTCTATGATAACACTAGATAAAATGTAAGAGAAGAGAAATTCACCCAGTTCGATTTTGTGTTTCTGTAGGGTTATCTCAAGCTCACTGTACTGACAAAGACCAGAAATAGGCACGTGTTTTTGATCCAAGCTCTTTGCTCTGGAAGCACTGCTGAGCTTTATGGAAGATTTGAGACTGGTGACTGTTGGTGGGGATTAATATGGATTTCAGTCTACTCATCTGTGTGCTGGGGAGAGCTTACTGATGTGTGTGTGTGTGTGTGTGTGTGTGTGTGTGTTTATATAAAGAGAATAGGTCATTTGGGTGCAGGGCCATTCACATGTTTACTTGGTGGAATGCAGTGATAGCATATTTAAATAAATAAGAGTGTCTTCAGTTATTGAGGGGTATCTCAGAATTATCTGACAACATTTCTAAAGGAAATTCATTTAAATTGTCCTTAGTTAGGATTGTATCACTTTAAACATTTTCAAGCATGCGTTTGGGAGGCAGAAGCTTGGGCGTCATTCTTAGTGGTTCTCAGTAAACAGTGAGGCCTTCAGCTTCTCAAGTCTACTTCCATCACTGACGTCCGTCACCTCAGTACCAGTCACAAGGCCACTGCTGTCCTTCTCTTAAAAAAGAGATGTTTTTCCCTTTGTCAAAGTAGAATTTTCAAAACATGAAACCATATCAAAGATTTTATTCAACTTATTAATTAATGAAGGAACCAGGAAGGTGGCAAAGGTCATTCAGAGAACATTTTGGGGGTCTAGATTTTTATGGGCATCTTGAACCAATAGAGTAAGAATCCTAGGTTGGGTTGAACGAGCCTGATTAGTGTCCGACAGGCAATAACAAGGATCTTTGGTGTTACCTTTTCTATCAGACAGAAATTATTTGTATCATGACTGGAAATGTAAATTAACATGTAATTTACTAAGTCGAAGACTTTTAATCAACATTAAACAACGATTTGAACAAAGTACAGTTTCTCTACATAAATAATCCTTGGGAGGGCCTGTTAAATATCATCCTCAGATAACACTGAAAGGACGTGCCACCTATCTTTCTGCCTTACTTCTGTGTTTCAAATAATCTTTCCTAACATCCTATATCTCAAAGCTTTAAAATATATAAAACATTAACTTTTAGATTCAGATTATGGTAAGCCCATTTCTTTTGCAGGTAGCTAATGGAAAGACCAGATAAAAAATACTCTAGGTTTTAACCAGTGAGAGGAATGTTACATGACCTTACAGGCCTATTATGGCAAAGATTAGAAAAGAAAAAACTGCTTATCCTATGGGAGGACTTTCTGTAGATTGAACATGAACTCTTTGAAGACAGGCTCTGTAGTTAATTCTTACCCATTTGATATTGAAGCCCCCGTACCTAAGCCAGCAGAAGTGTAGCATTAACAGAATTGAGTGACTGGGTGACAGTGAGTGAATAAATGAGTCATGATATGTCAGAGCTGTGAAGACTCTGTTTGTCTAATAGAAATCCCTTTGCGTTGTGTGTTTGACCAGGTGAACAGCAGTTGTGTGCTGGCCCCGAGATACTAATCAGACCTTCTACCTGACTCCCAGGACACAAGGCTCAGTACCTGCGGAAGCCTTCTAGCCATCCCTTCCGGGCATGGGGACAACATGTCTGCACCCAGGAAAGCTGCAGCAGACTCTAGTAAGTTCTCAAGCATCGCACCCTGGCGGGGGTTGTGGGGACAGAAGGAGCCGGAGCAGTGCTCCTCAGACTGAGAGACTGCATGGGAACTGCCTGTGGATCTGCTGACCTGCAGATTTGGGGTCACGGGGTCCGTGGCGGGGCCCAAGACCCTGCATTTCCAACAAACCATCACACTTAGAGAAGCAAGGATCAGCCTCATGTTTTATTTTGCTCTTTTCAAATAGCATTATTTTCCAATTATAAACGTCATATATATTTATTGAGGCGAGTTTAGAAATCACAAAATACAGAGAAGAAGGTTTTTGGTACTTAATGCTAATGGGGTGTTTTAATTAGATGCCAGCTGTCTCCCAGCTGACTCATGTTGTCACTGTCTTGCCTCAAGCATTAACAGCTTGCCGTCATTCTTCAACATTTCTTTTATACCATTGTGCTCACATCCTGGTCCCTTGTCCCCCTGCCCTCCTTGTAATCAGTGTTGCTCCCTCCTCTGGAGCTTTCAGCCAGGCTCCTTCGCTGGCCTGCACTGCGACTCCAGAAGTCCTGGTCCTGTGTTCGCTCTGCAAGGCCTGGAGGCAGCTTGCTTTCTCATTCTGATGCTACTTATCTACAGCACGTGTGTTGCTTCCAGGTTTTTTTCCTTCTATTATAGACGTTACTCTTGACAAGATGTTACTATTTGTAGATCTTATGCTTTGGTTGAATTCTTTCTTTGGGACAAATTCTCAGGATTGGGATCCTAGAGCTAACGGGTTTGAGTTTTGTGTTACTTTTACTCTCTGTTACCGTATTATTTTCCAGAAGAGGCTAAGCACGCTAGGCAGTGCACCAGTTATACTGTAACCTCCCCGGCATCTGGTATCATCGTGGCAGGAAGAAATGATGCTGACTTAGTCGTTATGAAATGGTGCCTTGAGCTTTCTTTAGTTTTTATTTCTCTGGTTACTATCCAGGATTATTTATTTCAGTTTGTGTAACTTGATTTTTAAAGAAATCTGCTTGACGCTTTTTCCTTTTTGAGCTAACTGTGCACTAACAGTTCTGTCAATTAATTATTGTCTGACTTTCTACTCAAGAATCTGATGAAATTGTAAATTTTACTGGAGTCTTCTAAAATATAATTTTGACTCAGCTTCTTTCTTATTTTATGCCCTAAACACTCCATGCCTTTATTTTAGCTTCCATGAAAAGGATCAAAACAGCACACAAAAAGATAGTTGAGGCACTCATTTTCTTTAGACACTCGCAAATTAATATGCAAGTGGCCAAACTGGATGGGTTTCCTTATAAGACATTGCAATGAAAGTAGCAATTTTCATATTTTATTGGAAGAACTTTTTAGATCCTAAATATATTTTTCTGTATTCAAAAAGTACTACATTGTATTACGGCAGTTTATAGTTTTGTTCTTTATTGCCACTTAGTGAATGGTCTCTTTTCTCAAGGAAAGAGAATGCTTTGCAAAATTGAAAAGTTAGCTATATGGATGAATTTAAAATCTAAAATAAGAGAGAAACAGACAGACAGAGCAAGCCCCAGATTACTTTAAATGAATTAAAATTCTTAGCCATGCAGTTCCAAAATCACTTATTAAAAGCATTTATAGTTTTCATGCACTTCCAGCTGGAATTGTATTCTCTTGTCTGGGCTCCCACAACACTTTATTTATGTCTTTATTAGAGTGCTTGTCTATTGTCTCATATTACAGTTATTTTTCTATTTCTTTTTTTTCTCTTTTTTTGAGGAAGATTAGCCCTCAGCTAACTACTGCCAGTCCTCCTCTTTTTGCTGAGGAAGCCTGGCCCTGAGCTAACATCCATGCCCATCTTCCTCTAGTTTATACGTGGGACGCCTGCCACAGCATGGCTTGCCAAGCAGTGCCATGTCCACATCCGGGATCCGAACCAGCGAACTCCGGGCCACCAAGAAACGGAACGTGCGAACTTAACCGCTGTGCCACCGGGCTGGCCCCTATTTTTCTATTTCTTGCAGACTCCGTGAAGATAAAAGTTGTGCCTTCTGCCTCTTTGCTTGAGCAAGCTCAGTACTTGTAGTTGCAGATGTTTAGTAACTGTTGAGTTGAACATTATCTCAGAGCTGCTCTTAGTGGTGGGGGAGAACAGAAGAGGTGCTACTCATCTGTAGTTTTTACAATATGTTGACCTTTAAGAATAGACAGATTAGCAATTTTGCCTAACGGAAAATTTCTATTACCAAACAGATGGTTTGTGAGCCCTTAGGAAGGAACGAAGTGATCTTTAAGAACTGACAGTTTCACTAAGAACAAGACAGGTTAAACCAGCCTCTAACTGGAGCTGGCTAGAGAAGCCCCGGATTGCGAGGAAGCCCTCCTCATCCTGATGGGGTAGGCACTCTTCTTCCTGGCCACCCTAAGGTTAGGATGACCCAAACCACCAGAGGGCAGGGAATTCTTTGCTTGGAACACTTGGTGGCCCCAAAGCCTCCCCTGGAACCTTATTGCAAGACCAGAAAAATAAGTGCTGGAGCCTAGCAATGGTTGCTGAAATCAGAAATCATCCTTTTACGATTCTGAAATGGTGGAATGCACAGAGGACTCATTTACTAGTTTACCTAGTTTACTAGTCACCTAGATGTGCCTTTGGCAACATCCGTGTATATGAACATCCTCAGCCTTCTTCATGTTTCAGGCTCCTTTGAAACTTAACCATGATGACTTGAAATTTCTGGTGATCTTACAGCATCAGGACCAGTATTCTGAATTACACAGAACCATTAGGACCTGAGCTAGCTAGCCCAGGGTTTGTGCTACTCTCTGTCAATTCCTGAGTGTCCTGGAAGAGAACACAATGCTCATAGAAATGTCCACGACAGGACAGGCCACTAGGTTCTTTGTGCTGGTTCATCTCTAGTTCTTCCAGTAAACCCCACTTTTTCCTGAGGGATGTTTCTTTCTGACCTTCCCACTCATGTGTTGGAAAGAGGGCCACATTTGCATCTTGTACTTTTTAAGGCCCTCTAAGTTCATGTCTGCCTATCACTAAACTGGATGGGGTATTTAAAGGACTCACTGGCAAATACTTTTGGTACTGTGCCTTGTGTGGACAAAGTGACAGGCCACCTAGCTCCCAAATACTGTATTAACGTACAACAGGTACACAATCAGCCCACGCATCTTTCATGGCAGTCATGTCCTTCACTCCTAGTTCTGTGCTCTATCTAGAGCCATCCTGACTCTGGCCATTGGCCAAGGAGTCCCAATCCACAAGAAAGACTTATTGGATACCACACCAGGGGCTGCTACTAGGCTCAACTGGTACAGCATTGCTCACCAGTAGGAAGCATCCTGTAGGCAACCCAGACTCACTCAACTCCAGTGAAATCTCTTTCACCAGACCCTTCAGGACACTTGAAGACTGCTTTCTGGGTTCTTCCAAAATCACTAAAGTTATGAAGTTTGCTACCTTCCTACTACCAGTACTTCATCTGTTAACATTCTCCTTATCTTTCACTGTTCTTTACTGTCCCCTGATGACCATACCCAGCCCATGGGGCATTGCCATGCAGCCAGGACCTTTGGGATATGCTCCAAAAGAGCCTGCACCAAGGCTGCTCCAGTGCCTGAGCCAAGGAGAAAGGCTAGACACCAGAGGAGTTCATAGGAACTTGAGGCTCAAGGAGACTTTCTTGGAGGCAGGATCTCAGATTGGGCAAAAATGGAACACCCTTGCCTTCTCCCAAGGCTAAGGGATCTAGGAATGACTAGGATGGGAGAAGGGACTGTTCTGTCCACACCGGTTCTTAAACTTTCGTGTCTGCCTCTAAGCCACACATGTGGACACATAAACCCGAGTCTTGGATGTCTTTTCATTTTTCATGGATCCCATTAATTTATGGCCTTATACACCTTTATGACTTAGTCCTGCTCTCCTAGCTTTCCACTTCATATTTCATTCCTTGAATTGATGCTTAGCACCCCATCTCCAGCTTTGACCTGTTACTTTCCTTCTTTGATCCTGATTTGGACTCTTCTTCTGGCCAAGTGATTGTCATGATTTTGGGAAAATGCCTTGTTCATTCTAGTCTATTAATCTAGAATCCATAATGGAAGGGTACTCCCCATCCACATAACAGAAAAGCTTTCCCCGTTGTCCAGCAGCTTTGCATTTGTCCAAACCTGGGAAAAGTACTCTGACTGCTAGAGAAACAAATAATACGATGGATCACACAGCGACAGTTGATGACAAAATTCATTATTTCATAGACATTTATTTAGTGCATGTTCTGGTCTGGGCACTGTATTCTGGGTTGGGAATAGGGAAGTAGATAAAGCATAGTCTCTCCAAGGAGATTACAATATACTGTGGAAGTTTGTATGTAGGTAAATTGTAATACAAATGGTAATCCTTTAATAGTCCTATGGGGAAAGTGCCATAGTAAAGTAATCTCAGCAGATCTGGAAAGGGAACTAAACAAGGTGAAATATAGTAGGAATAAAATTAAAGCTTTTTGTTTGTATATTAAAAATTCAGCTCTAGAGGGATATGACCAGGTAAACTGTGCTTAAAATATATTCAGGAGACAAGGACCTAAGAGATCCTTGCACTAAAATGTGGCAGATCGAGCATGTGCTTTAGTGCGCGCTGCCTCTCCAGATCTAATGAAGGAATGAAGAGATGTAAACCCAGCAGAACATCCTAGTAGGAGAAGAGACAGCAGCCAATGAAAAAGGCTCACCATTTCGGGAAATGGAAAGCAGATGGACAATGACTTTTGCAGAGTGGAGGAGAAGAAACCTGGAGCTTTTTATTTTTTGAGGAGCTAATTATTAAAGAGAAATTCCCAGACTGAAGGAAATGAGTTTTTAGATTGAGACTAAGTTGAAGTATCCAACAAAGTGAAAGGAAAAAGAGACACCACACATTATTTTGAAAGTTCCAAACAAGGGAAAAGATCTTAAAGCTTCCAGTGAGGGAGAATAAAACAGGTCACATGTTTTCTAGAATCAGAATAGTATC